CCCCCTTATCTTTCCTTGCCTTTTCTGCTTTGCTCTTCTGCCCAGACAAGACTGTGGCCTTCTCAATGACGGGTAAGATTATGAGATCTGAGGGCTGAATAATGACTTCAGAATCTTCCATATTTAAGAACAAATTGAACAAAATGGAAGAATTTAGTTAGCTCACCTCCTCCTCCTTATGGTCTTCGCTGATGGAAAACTTAACCTTATTGGGGCCTTAAAACTGGTTCTTAATGCTTCTTGAACCTGTGAAGTATGAATTAATCTTATCTTTGTTCAGTGTATCTTCTCGTGAACTGCAGAAGAGCTCATCTGGAGATGCTCATCCAGCTGCTGCTTTTGGGTTTCTGTCCTGGCACATTAAACTTGATTTGTTTTGTCACACAGGCAGTTAATAGTTAAGTATTGGATTTTTCTCTGTAGCTAAACATTTGTTTAAGCCTGTCATATTTATTTTGACCTGATTTGTTGCAACGCCCTTGTGGGAAGGGAAAATTGGGGAAGGAAAAGAAAGTTTGTAACAGAGAACCCTCAGTGCTAATATTGGTTAAATTGATATTTTTCTATCCAGCCATCTAAAAGGTAACTTAAAATGTCTTTGGTAGAGCAAATTAATTTGACCACTCAAAATTGGGCTATTAAAAGTTGATTTTTGTTCTGTTTTCTGGTTACATATGAAATGCTGCAAAACTTCCAGCTGTTACTTGCAAGGCTATGGAGAAGTGTGTCAGACAGTGGTGGAGTTGATTTTTAAAATATCACAGGACAACGGCTGAGCAGAGGGAGGGATCTGCTATTGCTGCAGCCACATCACTTACTGCTGTTCTGATTTAGTGCTAACAAATGATAATTTGTCATTCATTGAATTCTCCTATTTTTGCTTTCTTTTCCTCCCAACTTAAATTCTCTGGCCAAGTTGGGGAGAAAAAAGTTTATTGGTGGAAGCTGGAAGGAAACTACCTCTTTGTTAGGCAGTCTAGGGTATGTGGCATGTACAACATGCCTTTCCATATTTGCTTAGCTTAGAGAGACCAAAAGCTGCATGATTTATGATCTGTTGAAAGAAAGGACCCTTTTTCAGGCTGCAGGCTGCTCCTTGAGATCATGTTGTCAAGTTAACTTCTCCCGGACAGGATTCATACTTTGGCTGGCAGTGGGAGAATTTCTTCTGATTGCACGGAATGTTATGATGAGATTGTTTAAAAACAGTAAGCATGCAAAATCCTCCTTTTGTCCTTAAGTGATGAGATGTGCAGGGTTGGCCAGAGGAGAAAGGTGTAGTTTAAGGTCCTTGCCTTGCTTGCCAAAGCTGCTTGGTGCTACGTGGGAAGAGACAGCGAGGTGCAGAACTGGAAAGTAGTCTGAGGCACCTGAATGCTACTCCAGAAAACTGTTCCATGTTATGGTAGGTCAGAGTTTTTCTGGGTAATTCCACATAAAAGACCTTAAGCCTTAACTTGCAGAAACACTGAGCATGCACAACTGCATCTGTGTTCAAAGGAAGTAGAGCTTTAATGCTGAATAATGAATAACTGGGTAAAATGTCTGGGGTATTGTAAACTGCAGAGCCAGTGTTGTGGGTGTTTGAGAACACAAACAGTGAGACTAAGACCCTGGCTTTTCAAGCTCCTGGGGAGGTAGGCCCTTGGCTATCCTAGCCTTATCTCCTGTTCTCTTCAGCCTATTTAGTTGTCATCTAGTCCTGGCTTCTTGTTTCAGTTCAGTTTTTTGCTTGTGGCCAGATGAGTTTGTTCCTCAGGCTTGCCTTAGTTCTCCGGATCACTTGCCAATACCCTATGCCCAGACAAATGAAGAGTCCCTCTTTGTGTGGTTCTGGCCCTTCTACCACCCTAGTTTTGTTGGTTTGTTGTTGGTTTTTTTCTCCCCCTTTGGTATCTGTTTGGGCAATGATCTCAATGTTTTCTTCAAGTGGCAACACTTGACAGGAGGGGAGGTAGATGGAGATAAGGAAGAACTTTGTTCTTGACAAATGGAAACAACTTCTCTGGAGTTCCAATACTTACTGACCTCCTCCTTTCTTGGCAGCTATGAAGTAATTGTAGTTGGTGGTAGTTTTGCATATTGTTCTTTAAACTCTGGATTACACAGATGCTGTTCTGTCTCCTGCAGTGTGAAGCCTCACTTCCGATCATCTAGCAGCTCAGAACATGCTGTAGAGGGTCCAGCTGCTGTCAGCAGCATGCCAGCGGGGGATGGACCACTGAACAGAACGAGCTCAAGGAATTTTGTTATGGAGCGACATAACAGTACGTTAACTGGGCACCAAGACCAAGGTTATTCCCAGAAGGATTCTCCTACCACACAGATGGAGCAGAATGGAGATTATGGCATTGGCAGGGGCAGGTAAAGAACTGTGTGCACTGCTTTTTGCTGTAACACGCTGCTGCTGTTAGTGTTGGAGGTTCAGATGACTTGTGCGAGACAAGGGATCATCAGCCACTGGCACAACACTTATTTTTGTAAAGACTGACCAGGAAAAAATTGGCATTTAAATAAACAATGTGTGATAAATACTTAACTGGGACCAGGAATGCTTCCTGCTTGACCGTACACTTATTAGTTATTCTGACAAATACCTTGCAGTAACGTAGTGAGGCATCTTTATTTCAAAATAACTGCCTGATTTGTCCCTGGAACTAAAACAGTTGCTGAAGTAAAGCTGGTATTTGTATTTCTGTAAGTAATGAGAAAATCCTCAGTTGGGGAATTTGATGCTCCTAAACATTGAGAGATAACTGGATTTATCTCTTTGCCCGTTATTTCAGGGTTTAGACACTTAAAAATAAGTGACCAAGACAGATATGTGAGAAATCAGATAAAATTATGGACTACTAAACTTATTTATAGTAATAGTCTATAATATTATAGTCTAATTGTCACTGTACTTGTTCAGATACAATGCTTTAGGGTACCTCGTCCATGGGGAGAGAAAAGAGAAATTGTTTCCCGTATTGGCTATGTTCCAAGAGTATAAGAGCTTTGACCTGCTCCTGAAGATGGAGAACATCCCAGAACTGTATCTTGAGAAACATCAGTAGGCTGCTGTAAATCCCCTGCTACAGGCTCTCCTTTGTGCAGATGAGTGTGTACTTCAGCCAGATGAATGCACTTACTGACTTTTTTTTGCCTTTAAAGGAGGAATGTTTTCAGAGGTCGGAGGAGACGAGAAGATGACCGGGTTTCAGTAAGTTCTGCTTCCCTTGTTGCGAGGAGCTGCACAAAGTGCAATGCGTTGTCTTTGCATTCAGTGAAGGAATGGTGTAGTCCTTAAATTGTCAGATTACACTGTGGCTATTTCACGTTTCTAGGAAACTCCCTGACACTTGCTCAGTGCTGTTAATGCTAGGTGTTATGGCTCTGTTAATGGTATTTTTCCTTCTCTAGAGACCTCAGCCTTCAGCAGAAACAAAGACTCAGACACCAAAGTTCGACTTGCTAGCATCAAATTTCCCACCTTTGCCTGGCAGCACAGCAAAAACACTGGGAGAGCCTGTGCTGGAGAGCAGGATGTCCGATATTGTTAAAGGAGTCTGCAAAGAAAAGGTACTTGCTCTTGTCTCTGGCATGCATACGGCAGTATGCATATGCTGTGTCTCCCTTCTCCCCTGCCTAAAGAGTCAGTTTATATTAGAGCTGCACATTAGAATGCCTTAAGCCCAAAGATCACACGACATTTGTTCACAGTGCATTTTCTGTCTTTCCATTCTTGGGTTTCCTTGGCTTTTTGGGGTATTTAGCTGAAGCTTCTGTAACTACACTAGTGTAAGCTTGGTACTGTTTTGGAACAAAGCAGGCAAATGAGGAGTGTTGGCTGTTGCAGTAGGAACAAGTTAGTGTGTAGCGTAGGCAAGGGCTGTTTCCAGATGAATCTGTTATTTAAGCTGGTGGGACTAGGCATTGATAATGTGGGTGAGACAGCCTTACTTCTCTTTTTATCTACTGTTTGGTTTGCCCAAATAAAGAGTGATTGCTTTAGAGGCAATGCTCCAAAAGAAGTAGAATTCCTGTAATCAGGACTTGAGCAGCCTTTGGAAATACCCCACTGTTCAGATGTCTTGAACTGGCATGTTGAGGAGCAATTTAAGCATATCTGTGATCTTTCCGCATTGTGCAATTTATGCTTTCTGTACAGGAAAGCAAAGATTTGCTGCCCAGCTGTCCAGCTCCTGCTCAGGAAGAACAGACGCCCAGCACTGTCCAAGAGCCTGTGACGAGTGTGAGTTTGCCCAGTGAGACTGAAGCTGTGGTCTTAAGGTATGCAGATTACTTGAATCAAGTATATTAGAATTTGCATGTTCTAGCAAAGACTCCAGCTGGTGTCTGGCAAGGTGGCAATGATGTTTGTTGTTTCTTCTCTGTCTGTGGTAGGCAGCTTCTCTAGAGGCCACTAGATAGAAGTAACAAATCGTGGTGGTAATGGCTGTACCATCCTGTTCTGCAAAAAACGCAGTTGGGACTTCAAAGAAAGAAAAAACTTTCTCAAGCATTAATTTCTGTGTTAGTAGATTTTCATGTTAAATTGTTCTTGATTTAACAGCACAGTCCAGTCAGACAGCAAACCAGAAGAAGTGTCTGCTCAGAAAGATGTTACAAGCCACGCTTCCCCACCAGTGTCTGCCTCTCCTGTCAGTGCTGGAAAGCCACCAAGGACAAATACCACTTCACCTTCTACTATTGCAAGTGCAGCTCCTGCTTTGCTGATGCAGGTAAGGCCCGGGGCGGGGGGCATGGGGAGCTTTCTCTGGGATGTGCCGATGGAGCACCTGGGACCTTCTGTTGTGCGTTTTGCCGCAGCTGGTGGTGTAATTGCTCACTGTATGTGTGTTTGCTGTTGTGCCATGACATTGTGCCTGGGATAATCTGGAAGAACATAGCGTGGTTTATTCTGGTACGTAAACCTTGCTCTTCTCCCTTGGTCCCAAGGAGCCACGCAAGCTAAGTTATGCTGAAGTTTGCCAGAAGCCCCCAAAGGAGCCTCCTGCAGTTGCTGTTCAGCCTCTGAGGGAACATCGCACCAACATAGTTCCCCCTGCCAAAAATGAAGAAAATGGCACACCTGAGAAGGCTTCGGAGAAGGCTCATGACAAGGTTGAAGGGCGAATGAAGGATTATTCTGGGTTCCGAGGTAACGGGCCTCCCAGGGGAGCTGCTGGGAAAATCAGGGAACAGAGGCGCCAATTTGGACGCAGATCATCGCCTCAGGGAGCACCTCGACGTATCGGCAAGGAGCAGTATGTGCCACCCCGGTCACCAAAGTAACACTTGTCCAGGCAATTATTCTCTGTTTGATTTGAGCTGTGGACTAATAAGCAGCAAAGGAGACTGTGAGAAGGAAGTATTCATGAAGGGGAATACTGAACTGGAGCGTGGCTTGTGTGAAGTTGTGGAGAGTCCCAAAATTCATCTCTAAAAGTGATGTCACAAATGCTGGAGGATTCCAATCAATATAAATATAGAGATTATAATTTTTGTATTTTTGTTTTTAATTTGCAGAGGGTTTTCTGCTTGAAATCAGTTTTGGGGTTGTGAAACTAGCGTTTTGACAAAGTGAAAGAATATGAATTGACAAATTAACCTGTCCCTCAGTGTAGGAGGAAAAGGATAAGAGAATATTATTTTTGAAAAATGAGCATTTCTGTAAAATTAGAACTTTTTTTAACCTATTTAACATTTGGCTTGTCAGATGATGTCTGCCATTGATGGCCTTGCATTGCAGAGCACGTCTGCAGCCGAGGTGCTTGGTCAGTGTGAGTGAAATGCGTGCAGCCAGATACTGTTGTCATGACTTAGTCACTGATGATAAAAACTGAATGTACTACTGTAGTAAACTTTGTGTTTCCAGCTTGAAGTATAGTCTCTTGACCTTACTAATAACTCACCCAGCAAGCTTTTTAAACTATGATTTTTACAGGATACTGGATTGTAGATCAGAGCACATGGACAAAGCAAAAATTGCCTTCTAGGCACAATTGGAAGGAGGCAGAAGGGAGCACGTCAGAATTTTTAATTTGCCCTTTTTCCTCGCCTCCTTTTGAGGGCAACTTCTTAGGTTTGGGTTGGTTTTTTTTTGCTTGTTACTTTCTCTAACCTCTTTATTACAGACTTTTGTGCATTTATCTTGGTATGTTTTCCTGAGGCAGGCCTGGTATAGGATTGATGGGTGGCTACACAGTACTTGACGTTAGCGTCACGAGTGAAGAGCCTGGAATTCCAGTTGCGGATACGGAATTCTGCCTTGCAGGTGGGAGCTCTGGGCCCAGAGTTCTGCGTGCCCCACCAGTGTTAAACTGATGTCTCTTGGAATGGCTAGCAAATCAGAGACGTGGCTGGTTTTTCTATATACTGACCTGCCTTTGTGTTCTGGAGCAGGGTATTGGATGCTGTATACTAGAAATCAGGGTTTATATCTACTGGGAACTCATTGTTTACAGCTGATGTAGTAGCAACTGACTTTTTTTAACTGTTTAAAGTGGAACTAAAGGTAAAGAGTTAAACAAAACCCGTCGTGTTCAGAGAAGCTACTTGAAAGGTAGCATCTTGCCTAGCTGTGTGCTGACTAAATTTGCAACACTATTGTGTAGTAAGTGGTTAAGTTTAAAGGTGATTACCGTAATGACCGAAATAGGAACATTCAGTGCATTAATCTGCCAAAAACAGCATGCCAGGGTTCAAAGTTCTGTATAAAGTGTTAGGGAAAAGTAGCTTCCAGCAGTAAGAATCACACTTTCTTTTTTTAGTGAATAGCAAGTGTACAAGTTCAAAGTCGTAAGTTGTGAACACTGGAAAATTCAATTGTGATATATACCGTAAACATCTTAGTAATATATGCTAGTGTTGCCATTAGAATGAATGTAAGTGGCAGTTAAAATAACTGTGAAAATTTTCATCTTCTGATTTCTTAGCCAGATACCCTTGGCGACTACTTACTCGGTATGCATTCTCTATCAACTGCTTGGAGAACACTCATATCTATTTTTATAAATATATATATAAAGCCAGAGTTGTCATTTCTCTAACTTATTATTCAGCTTGGCAATTGCTTTGATTTGATTCATAACACAGTATAATGTATTTATGCAGTTAATTGTTCATTTCTACGCATGTTATATATACATACATATATATTAAAAAAACCAAAATCATTATTCACTTTTAAACTACCTGTACTGGGTTTGGGAGGTTTTTTTTAATTTAGTAAAAAAAATCGTTGATCACTTCTACAGTTTAGGGATGCTTACAGAACCCTTCTCCATTTATTTCGATAATGCTGTATTTGTTGGAATGATAAAGAAGTTTAAATATTTAAAAGTGTTAAAGTTCTGAAATGCAATGAATTCAAAGTTGACTTTTAATCATTTTAAAGGCTATAAACAATTACTGCAGTCGAACTGGAATAAAAAACAAAGCTGTATGATAGTCACAGATATTTAGGATAGATGTGTGCTGTCTTTGCAAAGTTGACTAAGTGTTGGGATGCCGATAGCTGCCGTAAGCTGTTTGCTGTTCAGAGGAAGGGTTAGTTGGCAAGAGGCTTGTGCAGATGTGGACCTCTGGCCTCCGTGGTGAAGGCGGCGTGCTAATTCTGATCCATGCAGGCGCCCGCTTTCAGTGCAGTGCATAGAATAGCCTCGTAACTGAATTTTTAACAATTGCGAAATCTAACTTTTTCATTTATTAGATGTGGGGAAAAAACCCAAACAACTGCAGTTCAGCTTTTCTTGTAAGGTGATTGGAAAAACGTGACTGTGGAAAGGATGCTTTTTATGTCCTGGGTGCACGTTTTCCAGCAGCAGATTATGGCTCTTGTACAGTGTATGCAAATAAGTCTGTAAACATGTTGGCTTTTTCCAGCGCATTCAAACTTTAACCAGATTAGGGCCTCAATTATTTATTTAATACCTGCGTGCAAGGATTTAACATTAGCATTTCCTTCTCCCCCCTGCCGCCCTATTTAGAACTGTGGTTTTGTTTTTTTTTTCCTTTCTATTCTTGGGGGGGGAGGGTGGCGGGAATAACCAAGTAAATATAAAGGCTGTGAAAAACATAGTTTTGTGCGTGAGTTCTCCTGCAGTACTTGTATTGCATGGCAAACATACCTTAGGCGGGCTAGCTGCTACATTCTCATCCCCGTAATGGACTCAGGCAAGCTATCGTGTCTCTACCCACAAAGTTTGCCTGTTCTGACGGACTGGGGGAAACGGGGACAAAGCGATCATTTGGGAGCCAGACTGACTGCTGGTACAGCTCATTGATTTCATTTGAGCTGTATCATTTTATCAGCAGAGGTGAAACTGTCCCTTGTTCAACAGCGATGTTCAGTGTGCACTTGAAGTGACAAATACCAGTTCTCCATAGTTCCTTCTTGGTAGCTTACCACATGATGTAAAGGCAAGTTTTCCTACTCCGCTGATATTGAATACCAGAAGGTGCAAATCACGTGTAACTTTCAGTTTTATGAATTGTGACTTGTTTTCAGAATTGTTGACTTTTGTTAGCTACAGAAGTATACTTCCCCAGTTAAGTTCTTTTCCACATTATTGTGCATGGAAAAGATTGGGCTGCTCTCTTGTACTTCTGCTGGGGAGTGAAAAGAGAAATAATAATTTGCATGTGATAGTAAAATTAAAAGTGCAAAAGTTTTTTTTTTCTTTTGATTTCTAAAATTAAGTTAGTTTTATAGTATCTTACATTCCTGC